AAAATATCAACATGGAGACCAAAGTGACTTTTAGGTCCAAGGGGGGAAGTGGGCTCTCCCTGAGTGTGATGCAATCTGAGGAGGTGGCTGGACTGTGAATTTGATTCTGAGCCAGTGAAGGACTTTGTCTCCCAGAACTCTGGGGGAGTCTCAGTGACTCATCTTCCTCAAGCAAAGATTAAAAAATGACAACCTTTCCCAGATTTCCCTTGCTGGCCCAAACCCAGCAGTATCCCAAAGGAAAGGAAGCACTGTTTCTTTAATGCCTGGTTTGGGAACTGTGGTGAAGTCCTCAGCTCCAATCAGCCATAAATTGACACAGAAAAACAGGTTCACAGGCCAGAAATCTACTGAAGATTCTCCAGCCTCTTCAGTCCCTATACAGCGGAATGACATGGGAGAGACTCTGGAAGACTTGGAGACGGGAGGTCAGTTTTCTGTACCAATTATTTGCTTGTTCCTCTTCCCTCCCTGGACTATGAATCCTCCAGTGTGGGCAATGAATCTTTATTTATGAAATTAATTAACTCAGGTACTTAGTAGCTGTTTCCTGAGCTCCGATCACGTGCCAGTCAAAGAAAAGACTTTTGTATGGTTGAAGTTTCTTTTCTCATGTTGGAAGAAGAAGGTAGACAGGCAGTAAACTGGTAAGCAAATAAATGAATAAAAATGTAACATGTGATAAATGCTACAGTGGAAACATCCCAGGGGAACTGGTAGAGAATAACTGGGCACACGGCATGGCCAGGTTACCTTCCACTGGATGTCAGGTGAAGGTCACTCTTGAGGGAGATGACATTTGCACAGAGACCCCAAGGATGAGAAGGTGCCAGTCACATAAAGAGCACAGGAAAAAGCATTTTGGGCAGAAGAGATATCAAGTGCAAAGACTCTTAGAGTGAAAAAGAGATTTGCCCCTTCAAAGAACAAAATTCACCCCTGGGCATAAAGCTTCATGAGCAGCGGGAAGACATGGCCACCGGCTAATCATGGAAGTCCTGCCAGATAGTACAGAAGCACTTGGGATTAACTCAAATGTAGCAGCGAAGAACCAAATGACAAATATAGGGTATAATGTTAGAGTTTTCTAAAAAAGCAGCTTTATTACTTTCACTGGATTTTCAAAGAGACCTGTAACCCTCCTCCTATCCCCTAAATGTTAGTAATAACTGATTTAGAGGAAGAAGACTAGGTCCATGCTCTTAGAAACACTAGAAAGACAAAAGGTGCAGTTTGGAACTACATGCAATGTATTCTTCCACAATACAGAGAACTACTCAAGAAAAAAATACAATTGTCTTTGAGGAAGGCAAGGGTGAAACTTCAGACATTATCTAAAAAACCTAAAGGAGTAGGTGACTTTAAGTTACTGCAGATATGGTAGGAACATACAAAGAAAGCTGAGGACCAATGGTATTGGTGCAGGAGTTGAGGCTCTCATGCTGGAAACCAAGTTTGCAAGCAACTGGGCAATGATTTTGAGATACTAGAGAGTTATAAGAACTTAATCTTCTCATTTATAAAAATGTGTCCAAAAGATTTCCTAAATCTGAGTGCTACACAAAGGTATCTGATACGTCCACTTAAAATGATGTTTCCGCCAGCTCAGTGGCTCATGCCTGTAATCCCAGAACTCTGGGAGGCTGAGGTGGGTGGATCACCTGAAGTCAGGAGTCTGAAACCAGGCTGACCAACCTGGTGAGACCCTCATCTCTACTAAAAATACAAAACTATTAGCCGGGTGTGGTGGTGCACGCCTGTAATCCCAGCTACTCGGGAGGCTGATGCAGGAGAATCAGTTGAACCCAGGAGGTTGAGGTTGCAGTGAGCCGAGATCGTGCCATTGCACTCCAGCCTGGGCAACAGAGTGACACTCCAAGACTCCATCTCAAAAAAAAAAAAAAAAAAAAAAAAAAAAAAAAAAAAAAGATGTTCCCAAATTCCCCTAACCAATTTTCCAGAGCAATCTCTCAAAGATTTTCTCTTCCCTTCACCAAATAGTTACAGGAAAGAAGAAAGCTAACATGCACTTTTGCTGAACTGATGTTTAAACATTCCCCATCCCTGCCTGTGTTCCCCACACCCCTCCTGCCCAAATCACCTAGAAGATGTCTAGAGATGATTTGGAAGGACTTGGACTTGTTAATTAACCTAAACAGTCGCATTCATCGGCAAGGTGCATTATTGTTAATTAAAACTGCAATTCTCCTTGTGCCCAGACTGCGGGCTGCTGTTGTCAGAATAATTAGATAGCATACGATGGTTTTCATGCAAATCCCTGGCAATTAGAGTTGGCGATGAATTGGGTTTGAAATCCCAGTGAAGTTCTCAATCAGAATTCCTCTGAGGGAGGAAGGTGGTGATAGTGTTGGGGGATAGGGAAATAGGAATGGAAAAAGGGTATGAGGACCAAGCATTTGTTTTCTGAATCCTAAGGGAGGGGTTGCAGCCTGGAATAAATGAACTATGAGCATCAGTGTGATGTTCAAACTTCCCTTGAATAATAGATCTCTCTCCTTTAGAAAGCAAAGCAAACTGACCTTCCTCAGGGTCTCATGTTTTCCCAAGAGCTTGCCTCCCTGGCTCTTGTCTTTCTGAGAGGATTTTTTTTTTTTCTTTAGCCAGGAGGTCCAATATCTCATACACAGCTAAAGTCCCTGCCAACCCTAAGATTAAATTCTTAAGGGCTCTAAAAAGATGGGATTTGTATTCCTGAAGGGTCGCAGAAAAGTTGCCAGATTCAGACCAATGTTAGAGTGGTTGGCGGCATGCAGTGGGTTAAATACATAGGTGGCAGGTCCCCGGGAAAGCTTTAAAGAAATGATTAAGATCCCGGTGAGACTTAAGGAGGAGCTCTCCAAATGCTGCATAGGTCATGGCAGGAAAGGGCAGCCTGAAAGGCTTGGGGCAATGCTGGTGGGCATGGGGATGGGGAGGATGTGGCTGGGGGTGGGGTACTGTCTCCAGCCCACCCTAACCTCTTAGCATCTTTGGGCTTCTGCAGCTGCCTTTCCCTTGTGAAAGCCTTGAGAGCTGCCAAGCTGTTACCCAGGAGTCTAAAAGGAGGGATTTCTATCCGGAGGCACAGGGTTGGGGCAGATAAGACAAGCCTAGTGGTCTTAAATTAAGCCTCCCTTGTATTGGGTTGACACCGAAAGATTCAGGGAGTCAAAAACGCCCTCTCCTCCCCCTCAACTAGGTCAGCTTCCAAATCAGTACCTCGTAAGGGAGGAGAACAACATCTGGTAGAATTGGAAGAGTGGTCAAGGATGGGAGGGGGATATTGAGAGGAGCCCACAAAAAATAGGAGGGGAAATACCAGACTAGGACACATCCATGAACTGTGGTTGGAAACCAGAGCATAACTGAGGTTTGTAAATTATTTCATTTTTCTTCATTTTCTTTCCCTTTCTTTCTGATTCAGAATGTCTCCCGCGTCTCAATCGGTCCCTAAATCCTGCCTTTCAATTTATCATCAACCAATCAGGAGCTAACCTGGTGGTTGCTAAGAGACAGGAGGTGGGAGATTTAGAGGCTTTGTCATGGCACCCACCCAGGAAAATTCCCTAAGCCTTTTGCACCCTCCTGCCTAAGATATTCTAACTCATCTCTGCACCTGTCCCTTACTGGCCTGTTATTCCCAAGCCCAGAGAGTCAGGCAGAAACACTTCAGTGAGGAAGCCAGGTATGGCATATCTTTGGAAAATGGAAAGATGGTAATTGGGTTCAAACTGATATAACGTATCTGCTCAAGTTTCCCCAGGCTTTAGTTGAGTTAGAGGTAGAAACTGTTTTGTAGCCTCTCAGGTAGAGGGTGAATTTGTTCTTGGTGGTAAAATCTGTACCTCCAATGAGGAGAAGCTTCTGTCTCTCCAGTGATCTAAACTTGGCTAGGTAGAGATTCAGAAAAATATCAAAGGTCCTGATCAAGCAGTCAGAGAAATCAGGGGTTTATTTGGGAAAGAGGTGCCCAGGGTATTGGGGTATTGTGTAGAAGGTGGAAGGAAAGATGTGGGAAAGAAATGTTTATTACAAAACCTGAGATTTTGAAAGGGAAATTTGGGGAATTCCAAGCAGGAGATGAATCAGATCAGGGCCTCCCCCTTCAAGTTTCTCCACCCTTCACAACTTCTTGATCTTTTCTTCCCTCCACACATCCTACACAGAAAAGACGAGGCTTAAAAACCAGGGTAAGGAAAACTCATTTGGGTAAGGAGTGAGTCATAAATCCTGACTCTATATCCTGGAAACAGGGATGGGTGCAGAACTGAGTGGGGGTTTGGGTCCTGAGAAAAGTCAGTGCACACACACAGGTGTGGGTAGTTCAGGTGCTGACAGAGATGCAATCTCGTGGGTGGGCCTATGTTATTATATGAATACATCTGACATAAAGGTAGGCTCTAACAGATCGAGAAACAGATGTATGCACACACACGCACACATGCGCGCATGCACACATTTGGGTCACGCTGAGGAACCTGGGAGAGATGACTCCCAGGAAGTGGCTTTTAAAATTATCTTGAGATGTTCCCTGAACTGAGTGACATCCCCTGGGATGTTGCTTTCACCTTCCCCACCACCACTGATCTCTAAACAAAGCCAGGCAGGAGACAGAAGACAGAGAGAGGGGCTGGGCAGCTCAGATGGGGAGAGGGAGGTGGCATTGCTCTGGGCTTTGTCATCAGTCTTCCCTGTTTATCTTTGTTTTGATTTCTGTTCCATTTGCTTCCTGGAACAGCTTTTCCTCCATTACCAGCAAAGCCATCCCTTCTGGGTGTTTGGGTTTAACTGCTCCCCTCATGTTTTGGTTTCTCTTCTCCCTTGAGATGGCAGTGACCCCACACCTCAAGAGAACAGCTGTGTGCCCTGAGGGTGTTTATTCATCATTCAGCTTCTCCCCAGGCCAGCTATAGAAACAGACACTGGCAGGAAAGTCTGACATAAAATGTCTCTCTCTCCATTCTCCTTCTTCTCCCCAGACAAAATAAGAAACCACCCGCTTCACAAAAGCAGTGTAGACTTTAATTCAGGTTGACGGGTGGAAAGAGAACTAAGATTTGCTTCCAAGGGTGTCCACAGGAGAAGACCATCTTTCAGGGAGGGGCAAGGAGGGCAAGAGGGTGCGGGTGGTCTGGTGGCAGAACAGGGCCAGGAGCAGGGGTGTAGCCACACAGTGTACAATTGCCAGGGCTTCTGCCAGGTTCAGCAGCAGGTCCAGCACCTGCTGGGCCAGACATGTTGGCAGTAGCAACAGCTTGGACCTCACCAGGAAATCCAGTCCCAGAACCAGCCCGTGAGGCCACCAGAAAATAAACCAGACCCACAGGATATTCATCCAGGGGCCTGGCCCCATACCCAACGCCTTCTTCAGCCCCTTGGCTCCAAACAAACCCAATGGCAACAAGACAAAGATGGCAAAACAGGCGACAGCGTGAGTGGCCTGCAAAGCTTTCAGCTCCGTGCTGTATATCGGGGTGCAGAGTCCATCAGAAGCGCCACTGGCCAAGGTGATAGGTAGTGTCAGCAGGGCAGCCGCTCCCCAAAGTCCCACAGTGAGGCCCAGGGTAAGGCCTGGGACCTGGCCTGCACCCAGTTTGGGGCCCAGGGAAGCATGGCACCCTAGCAGCAGAGCCTGGGCAAAGGCTGAGCCATACCAGACGCAGTAGCCCAGGCTACACAGGGCGGAGCTGTGGGTGTTACCTAGCCCTGGTGCCAAGATGGGCACCACGATGCTGAAGAGGGCACTGCCCACAGCCAGCTGCGCCAGGACAGGCCAGCCAGGGCAGAGCTGCCAGCGAAAGAGAGGTCTGAAAAGCATGAAGAGGACAGTGCTGCTGGCTAGGATGCCCAGGACACTGGCGAGGATGAAGAAGGGCAGTGAGGAGTCGTTGAGCAGGCTACAGGAGTGGCAGGGGGCAGCTGCTGCCAGGCTGGCATCGTAGTCGATCTCCGGGAAGGAATCATTCCCATTATAGGAAAAATTCCATAAATCTTCCAAGTTCAGCTGACTTGAGTTCTCAGTTGAGGGGGAGAGCTCCGCCTGGGGGACATACCCAGAGGAGGCCATCAGAGTTACCCCAGAGAGTCTCCTGGGAACTGAGGGGCAGGTGGGAGGGGGGGACAGAGAGGAAAGAGGAAGGTCGGGTGGGAGAACAAGGTCTCTGCAGGAGTCGGAGCCAATGCGGATGGTGGGAAAGGACAAAGCTGGGAGCCTGAGGAGCTGGAGCAGGAACGGTCCTGGGGAAGCCAGGGCAGCTGGGGATGTGGGAGCCATGCAAGGTCAGGAGAGAAGGCATGAGGGGACCAGGATGGAACTGAGTCAAAGGCAAAGGGAGGTCACAAGAAGGAGCCAGGAGGCTAGTGTAGGAAGAAGGAGAAAGACTTTAAAGGAAGAGGAAAGAGAGGGAAGGGAGAAAAAAATAGGAGGAAAAGGAAGAGATAGAAAAACTGAGGGGCAAATCGCAGGGGAAATGAGGGGTATGGGGGTAAGGGACTCTGGAGCCTGGTCCCATACTCACCTGGTGCAGACAGTTCCCCATGGCACCGTTTGGTTCAGGGCCGGCAGACAGAAGGGCTGGAACGGCTGTCAGTGCCTGTGCTTCCAAGATAAGAGCCAAGGACAAATGAGGGCCACCAGGCTCCGGGCAGGGACAGGGGGCATCAGGAAGTCTTACCCCACGCCCACTGCCTGCACAAGCCTCAGGCCTATTGGGGGGGCACTGGCCTCAGGGCTTCCTGTTTTGAGGTTGGATTTGACCGGTCGGGACTACACTCAGGAAAAAGGTGGGGACCAGAAAGTGGGCATTTTACCGAAGTGGAAAGGGAGGCTGAGAAACCAGGGGGCTTTCCAGCAAATAAAGATTCTTCAAGCACAAGGAAGGAAAAGAGTGGGGCTGGGTGACTTGTGAGGCAGAGATAAGGGAGGTGCTGCGAAATTGGAGTGGAAGGGCGGCTGACTCTCACTGCTCCTCCATTCCCTTGAACCTGATCCAAGGAAAGGCACTTCAAAAGCCATGTGTTTGGGAGAAAGGGTGGTAGTGGTCGATTCCATTCAACCTGAGGGGTGCGTGCGGATGGGCATGGGCTCTTTGTGTGCCTTGATCTCTGTGGACATCTGCTGTGTATCAGTGGGCACATATCTGTACGTGAGGGGCTCGTCTGCTGTGTGTCTGGCTATCTCTAGGTCTGGGTGTTTCAGTGTGAGGGCGGGAGGGTTGGGGTGGCTGTTGAGGCCGCGTGATGAAGCCATTTCAGGGAGCTACTGGGTGTTTGCCTAGCCACCTATGAGCGCAGTGCAGGCCTCTCGCATACGAAGTGGAATACATGGTCTCACAAGTTGAAGTAGGCTCTAAGGGACAAAGGGACAGCATATTTTAAAATGGGACTGTTGCCCACAGGGTGATCTCTTTTCAGATTTCTACATAAAGTCTGGAACTGCTTCACTGGCCAGACATCTTAGCAATATGTAAAGTTGCTTACGGAGGGGCAGAGCTGGCGAGCAGAGAGAAAGGGCATCTACTCTGCAGGCAGGCAGTCTCCTAAGCCCACGTCACTTCTTTTTAGCGGCCCCTCCCCGCTGCCTGCCCCCCTCAGCTGCTTCCCCAGGATCTCCACTGTTTCATCACCCCTCTCTGCTTTTATTTCCTCAGTTGGGAAGACATGGCGGGGACGTAGGGAGTGGTGAGCCATGGAGTGTCCAAGTCAGAGCAATGAGATAGAAAGGACTGTTGCATTTGTCCAAGACAGCATTGGCTCCTTCAACCCCAAAGCCGTTAAGGCCCTTCTGACCCATTCATGTAGGGCTTCCTGGGGGGCAAAGCACCTCAGACCCAAGGTGCAGAGGGATGGGTACCTCATAGAGATTTCCCCCCTTTTCTCCCAAGTCACTCGCTCAAGTTTCAGGTTCGACATGAACGGGCTGGAAAGTGAATTTAGTCTGGTGGTGTCTAGTGATGCTCTCCAGGGTGGGGTTGATGGTGCCTCCATCGCCGTCTCAACATTCTGCAGCAATGCCTGGCAGAGGGTGGGGGGAAGCAGTCAGACGCCCCCCCAAGATACTCTCCGGAAAGGAAGGGCTTAGCAAAAGGAGGTGAACACACTTCTCTCCCATGGAGAGTTATATTGTTGCTGTACATAGATATCCTTGAGAGTGGCCTGGCAAGGGACACACCACCTTTCGAGGCACCAGGCACCACGTGCAAGGGGTATGGGAACAGTCCTCACATACACACGTCCCAGCAGCAGCAAGAGGAGCAGAAAGGAGGCAGCCGAATGACATGGATAATCCAGATATATTGAGGGTGGCCCCTCTGAGATTAGCACAGGAGAGTTAGAAAGATTATAAAGATACACGGTCCCTCCCTGCTCCCTTCCCCCACCCTCCCATCCCTGGACAGACACACACAGCACAACAGCCCCTCTCCCTCCCACCCCCCCACCCCGTACAAATATGGCTTCTGTGTAATATGGACAGAGTGGTTCAGCTCAAAGAGGAAAAGTCATTTTCCCAAAAGCGGGTGCTGGGAGACAGGAAGCTTGGCAGGCCTGGGGTCCCAGGCTCCCTTACTGTTGTGAGAGGAGTAGGCCCTGGCTTAGGTGAGGGGCTGCCCGTGGTGCCCAGGGCCCTCACCAGCGGCTGGAAGATTCACAAGGGTAGTACCTGAACTGAAGGGGGGTGGGCAGGCCTGCCAGATCGCAGCTGCCCCTTTTCGCCTGCCCGTTGTCAGGGCACAGAGGAAAAGCTGGCGGAGGGAGGGAGCGATGCCAAGGGCATCCTGGAGCTGAGGCAGGGCAGTCCAGCCAGGACAGGGAGGACCAGGAACCGCATTTCCATGGCAACCAGCTGGGGCCGGGAGACGGAAGACCGGTAACTAAAAGGAGGGGTGGGGACCGAGCCCTCAATTCACTGCGTACAGACTGTGGGAAAAATAGGTGGTGGCAGGTCATTCCAGGGTCAATGCCAAGGAGAGGCCTGAGGGGTGCATAGCAAAGGCTGTGGCACTGACTCCATGGCTCAGAAGAGGGAAATCCAGGGAAGGGCTGAATGCTGAGTGTTTCAGGGAGAGGTGGAATGGACAGCTGGGCAAACACACACCCAAGGACTCCTTTCTCCAAGACGGATAGGCATCAGGGGTGGCAGAAGGAACACCTGAATGGAACAACCTCCCAGCTGAGGCATGAACCCTGACTAGGAAGACCCCATTCCCAAAGCTACCCCCCCAACATGTCCCACAGCCCTGTCCACCTGCCCAGGACCCCTGGCTCTTGGCCCTCCTCCTCAGTCCCTTGCTCTGCCTCTCACTCAGACGCACATGCACACACACACACACACACACACACACACATGCATACACACTACACACACCACACGCATGCACACAGTTCACATTATTCCCTTAGTTTGGGCAGGAGACAGCTCAGTGCAGTGAAGCTCCTTTTAGTAGATTTGTTGTTATGTCTGCCTGGCTGCTGGGGGACGAAGGACTAAGGGCTGATGTTGGGACCAGGAAGGGGACACAGGGTGGCCAAGGTGGGAGGAGTAGTTGCTGAGCAACAATCCAGAGTCTTGCGTAAGATGAGGGGCCCCCTCAGCGCAGGGAAGCAGGGGCAGTTCAGGCCCGAGAGCAGTGCCTCTCCCACCACTGCTGGAGCAAGGAGGAGCAGCCACACGCTGCTGTCCCCAAGGGCGGTTCCTATGGAAAGGGCCCGGCTTTGTTCATTTGTAGGAAAGCGGGGTGGCAGTCCACCTCCATCCTTCCTCCCCAAATCTACTCTTCCTTACAGGGACATGTGTCCTCCCCAGGTTGACAACCTAGGTCCCCGCACGGCTGCATTGCCTTCTGCGGGTCACATCTCCCCAGGGCCCCCCTACTCATCACCTTCCCATTGCTATGGAAGAGAGGGGTCAGGGTGGCACCTGCCTCCCTGTCTGTAGCGCTTAGGTGTGTGGCTAGCCAAGGAAAAGCCATGCCCAGCCCTTGCCAACAACCCTCCCTCCCGTTCCCCGATTTCTGGAGAAGTCTGGGAAGCTGCTCTGTTGTAGAGGATGAAAGCTGGTGAGAGCCCCCAGCTCCAAAGCAGCCCTGCCCCTTACCCCTCCCTCACCCCTCTACCTTCACTCTCCCCCTAACACTCCAGGGTTGTGTTTCGTATTTGTTTGGTTTTTTTGTTTTTTTGTTTTTGTTTTTGTTTTTTTTTTTTTTTTTTTTGCTTTTCTCACCCCAGGGCTCCCGCCTCTCCAGCCTGGAGACAGATTTGATTTGGGATTGTTACAAAAATAATAATAACCCAAATGCAGAGAAGCCACGGAAAGGGCTGAGGGCAACCCTCCCCTCCCCCCCGCCCTCCTCCCTCCCCCTTCCAAACCGAGTACAAAACCGCACCCAAAGCAGACATTCTGTACAGGGGGGTGGGTGGGCTGGGGAGCAAGCGGGAGGGGCGGCCCTGGGGTCGCTCTGTACAAGTCCGGGTTGATGACGGCCCCAGCGGTCCCCACGGGGCCCCTGGGGGGGCACAGGAAGTGGGTGGGTGCCCCTAGATGAAATATTCCTTCTTGTCGTCCCCTCCCGACTGCCCGCCTTCTGCATTGATGATGGCCGTGTCCGCATCTGGGGCATCGTCGGAGCCTTTTGCCTCGTGTGTCAGGTAGGTTCCTGTGTAGAGACAGAGGCTTCCCCTCTCAGGAGCTGCTTCCCCACCTCTGAGTCCACCCTGCCCACTTTCCCACCCACCCACTCACGCACTGCTCAAGTCATTTTTCTCTTGCCAATAGCTCTCTTCGCCTCCACCTTACCTAATTCCCATTTTGCTTCCCGCATCCCTCACCTGACCACACCCTCCATGAATAATGAATCCTGCCCCTAAGTAGAATCTCATCTGTAATACAAAGCAAGAAAGAGAAGTGTGCGTGTGTGTGTGTGTGTGTGTGGTGTGTGTGTGGTGTGTATGCCTGCGCGTGTGCAGATAACTTGGTGGCGGGGGAACTGCTATGCCAGCTTCATGAGCAAGGCAATTGACATCTGGCTTACATATGACCAGCCTATGGAGTCGGGCTTCGGGCTAGAATTAATAGCAGAGCCGGAAGTCTGGGAGGAAGAACATGGGAAGAGAGTAGAGCAAAGGCATGGATAAAGGAGAGAAGGTAGGAAAAGCGGGGAGAGAAAAGAAAGGCAATGAGATCAAAGGAGAAAGAAAATGAAGTTAAACAGATAGAAAGGAAGAAAGCGCAGGAAGCAATGAGATGGAGATGCAGTTTCAGGAGCTCTCTGTCTTGCAGCAGGAGACCTGGAGGTAGAGCAGCATGGGAGCAACCACTGACTGAGTGGGAAGGTTTGATTTCACTTGGACGATCCCCAAGTGATCAGGCTTTACTGCCGGGTTGGTGGTGCTCAGTTATCACAGGGTTGGCAATGATAGGGCTGGCTTGGTTTTTTCTTCCCTAAACACTCCAAAGGGCTGACAAGTCTCTGAAGGCCCTTTCCACTGTCGGCTTCTCATCCTGCCCACCTCTGATGGGTCTCCCTGCCCCTCCCAAGTTCTGCTGATGCGCTCCCTGTGCCTCTGACCTTTGTGCCGGATCAAGTAGTGGCCAAGGAAGATGAGCATGATGAGTAGCAGGAAGACAATGAAAGCCACGATCCCGCCGATGATGGCGTGGTAGGTGCTGGAGGAGGAGGGCACCGGACTGGGGTCTGGAGGAAAGGGCAACACACAGTCAGATCTGGGGAGAGCCCTTATCTTACAGCATTCCAACGTGGCCATGAATAGGCTTACCTAGCAGGGAACAGGCACTAACATCAGGAAAAGGGAGCAGCCTTATTCATCGTGCCTTACTGTGTGCTTATATGCCATGCCTGGACGATAGTATTTGTTAAAACAAACTGATGGGTTAATGAACAGATAGATAAATCTGCCCACACCTAGCCATCTAAGTTGAGATCTTGGCACTGAAGCTGGACCTTGGTCAAAGATCATCACTTTAATGACTCTCCTTCCCTCCTTCCCTTCTTTCCGCCCTCCCTCCCTTCCTCCCCCCCTTCCTCCCCCCTTCCTCCCCCCCTTCCTCCCCCCTTCCTTCCTCCCCCCTTCCTTTCCCCCTTCCTTCCCTCCCTCCCTTCCTCCCCCTTCCTTCCCTCCCTCCCTCCCTCCCTTCCTCCCCCCTTCTTCCCCCCTTCCTTCCTCCCCCCTTCCTCCCCCCCTTCCTTCCCTCCCTCCCTTCCTCCCCCCTTCCTTTCCTCCCTTCCTTCCTCCCCCTTTCCTCCCCCCCTCCTTTTCCCCTTTCTTTCCTCCCTCCCTTCCTCCCCCCTTCCTTCCCCCTCCCTTCCTCCCCCCTTCCTCTCCCCTTCCTTCCTCCCCCTTCCTCCCCCCTTCCTTCCCCCTTCCTTCCCCCCTTCCTCCCTCCCTTCCTCCCCCCTTCCTTCCCTCCCTCCCTCCCTTCCTCCCTCCCTTCCTCCCTCCCTTCCTCCCCCCCTTCCTTCCCCCTTCCTTTCCTCCCTTCCTTCCCTCCCTCCCTTCCTCCCCCCTTCCTTCCCTCCCTCCCTTCCTCCCCCCTTCCTTCCCTCCCTCCCTTCCTCCCCCCTTCCTTCCCTCCCTCCCTTCCTCCCCCCTTCCTTCCCTCCCTCCCTTCCTCCCTCCCTTCCTCCCCCCCTTCCTCCCCCCTTCCTTCCCTCCCTCCCTTCCTCCCTCCCTTCCTTCCCCCCTTCCTTTCCTCCCTTCCTTCCTCCCCCCTTCCTCCCCCTTCCTCCCCCCTTCCTCCCTCCCTTCCTTCCCCCCTTCCTTTCCTCCCTTCCTTCCTCCCCCTTTCCTCCCCCCTTCCTCCCCCCTTCCTCCCCCTTCCTCCCCCCTTCCTCCCCCTTCCTCCCCCCCTTCCTTCCCCCCTTCCTTCCCCCCTTTCCTTCCTTCCTCCCCCTTTTTTCCTTCCTTTCTCTCTTTCTAGTTTTCTCCCTCCCCCGCTTTTATTTCCTTCTTTCTTTTCTCCCTCTTTTTCTTTTTAATTTATCAGAGTGTTCCTTCTCCGTTTCCATGCTCTCTTAACCCTCTCGTCTTCTTGATATTCTGAGCCAGCTCCCCTAGCTCTAGGGGCCTTCTCAGCCTATTCACCCACTGCCTTAAGATCAGATAGGGAAGGAGAAGTAAAAGCTGATGGAGCTAAGAATTAAGCACATTGACAGCACCTTACAAAAGATGATAGATTGTGACCCCTATGTAAAGAACCCTGTTCCCTCATGGCAGGGGAGTTTAGTACTCCAGTGACACCCCAAGCCTCCAGCATTTCCTAAGGAGGAGGCCTGGGATTCCATCTGCACTGTGCCACCATCCAGAGGTTTGCGGAAAGGACAAGATGCTTTCTCCCATGATATGGACGTCTCTGCCACTGGATATACAGCATCTGTCCTCCATGGTAACCTATATAAAGGAGCGACAGCACAGACTGGGCCAGGCGTAGCAAAGACAGCAGCAGCCACAGCCAGAGTCCCAAATATCAGAAAACTCGCACAGGCCCAGCACACAGTTCCGACGTAGCCATAGACATAACTCTCCCACCCATGGGAGAGCTGCTGTTTTCCATGGACTCAGCTTGAGTCGTAATGCCTCATTGACTCCATACATATTTTGTCTTTCCCACCTTATGTTTCCTCAGGCTTGGCTGGGCCAGCGTTTCAGTTCCTTGCCTGTCTACGCCTTATTTGGAAAGAAAACATTTGTGTTCTGGTTTTTTATGCCCTGCCTGGGAGGAAGGGGGAGGATGAGTCCTGGGAATCTCGGGTATGATCAGGGTGGAGGGGAAGGTGTCACTTGGAGGAAGCAGAGTGAGTTTACTCGCTGTCTCTCTCAGGGAGGATGCGAGACACGGTCCACCTGGGAAAATCAATCCTGGATAATTAATCCACAGGCTATGGAAATGGCAGTTCCTTAGAAAAGCACAGGTTTCCGTGGCCAAACGAACTCTGGGCTCATCAATTACAGGCCCCTGTCTCCAGGTAGAACTGTGTTTCATTCCATTCCAGTCAGGCCCACTTAAGGATATTCCTGGAAGAAGGTGCAGTAGCTCCTTCTACCACCAGGCGTCAGCACTGGAACCAGACACCGTCCAACAGCACTCCCTCCGCCTGGCTGTTTAGCACAGGGCAGAGGGGAGATCAGCAAGATACCAACCACAAGGGCACAAGAACTTTCTCTCGCTGCCAATCATCATCAGATTGGTCCGGAGAGATCTGGGGGCAGAGACCGGAGCTCAGTGCATTGTCCTTGCTCTTGGCATCTTACAATAGCCTTGTTGTGCTGAGGCAGCTCCCACATGCTGAGGTCGGCCCCTGGAGTGGGAATCACCCCTCCAGACATTCTGATCCCAAGAACTCAGGCCTCTTATCGCCGGGAGGCCTGGCTGCTATCCCCCCAACTGCTTTAATGAGTGTTTCAAGTAAGGGAGCCTCTAATGTTTCCCCGACAATACACATCCCCTATTCTGAGAAAAGATTTATAAGACTTTCTGGTGGAACCCTCAGCCATTGGGATCTTCAAAAATATCCCCTGTCAACTCTCCATAAAGGGGCCTCTGTGCCACTCTGTCACTACTCCTGAGGCTGGGTTTTGTGGTCACAGCTTTGAGAAGAACTTCAGAGAAGGAGCATCACCTGGTCCCTCTAGAAGATACGGCATCTGAGAAAAGATTCTATCTCTTGGCATAATACAAGTTTCTGTCTATTTTCTGTCCAGACCCAGTACAGTGTGTTCCAGGTATGCAGGAAAACAATGACAGCGATTGCATGCACCAGAGACCTAGTCATCGGAGAAGCAGCTCTGAGAAGGGCCATTTAGAGAAGGAAATGCACCTGTGCCCACACTTGAGGGGCCCGGGGGCCTCTGCACACAGAATTACTGTTCTTGTTGTCAGATGAGCACAGGGGATGGAAGATGGTGTCACCCAGGCCACCACTACCAAAGAAAGGTAGATGAGAGCCCACCCTTCTAATGTTTTCTCACTAAGTGGCCATTACACATTCTAGAGCGGACCTGGGACCTAAGGCCTCAGGCACCCCAGCGGTAGGCTGGCTTTCCTTTACTCCACTCCCCGTCACAATTTGGGGATGTTATCAGGAAGTATGAAAGAAAGGGCATAAGAGGGACAGAGAAGGGAGATTCCGGAGGAAGCGAACTGAGAAGCGCTCACCGTTAACGTTGAGAGTGTAGTAGGCCTTGTAGCTGCCCATGTTGCTGATGGCCGTGCAGCCATAGGTGCCGCTGTCACTCTTGTTGAGGAAGGGGAAGATCAGGGCACTCTCCTGGGTGATCTTCAGGGGCGGCACACTGCCCTCCTTCTCCCATAGGTACTGCTGGGGGCTGTCGAGGCAGACAAATCAGAAGAGCTCAGGAGAGCATAGGCCAGGGAGCTAAAAGAAAAAAAAAAAATAACTGGGAGCAGGAATGTCAAGGATTGTTTGACAAGACTGGAGAAATAAATTATCAAGGCCAGAGACATCAAACTGCTATATTCCAGGCGGCCTCTTGGGGTTTGCTCTAGGGAAGCTGGAGGTCTCTCTTAGCTTGTATCTTACTTTTAACCTGGCCTCTGTGGGAACCTCAGGGACTGAACTAGGGAGTGGTCCCTTCCCACTCGTGCTGCTTTGCAGAAGAAATAATTACAGGTGGACATTATGGGACAGTCAGGGAAATGAGAGGCTCAAGTCGGACAGTACGGAGGAGACAGGAAGGAGCTGTTACATTAGGAGACCATCTGAGAGTGTGGAGGGTACGGAGGAGACCAGGAAATGGATCTTCTTACACTGGATTGCCACGACCCTCACAGTGTAGCAGCAGCTTCTGGCCCTCACGAGGATGCGGAGGGTCTGGCCTGATCATGGCAGTCGGTGTGTCTGTGGAGAAGGAAATGGTGTCAGTGAAAACCTCCCCACACAGCTTAGGAGATTCCCTCGCTCAGTTGCCCACTACAGCTTCTACCTCTAAATGTCTCCACAGCCCAAGAAGCTCAACAAAGACCTTCCCTCTCCTACTTCTCATGAACAAGGACCATTATTACTATTGAATATGTGAGCAACGTCTGTTGCAACCTTGTGTGATAGGATTTTGGAAGCTCTGTTCTTGGCGGGGCCCTAGGAGAGGTCTTAACAGAAAGCTGAGAAGGGAAATGAGTGGCTGACCTGTGCCTCGCAAACTTTCTAGCACATAGGGAGGACCTCATACGTATCTTTGACAGCACGAATAAACTTGAACTTGCCACCTTTAAGTTCACAACTTCTCAGTTCTCTCTGCTCTGCAAGGGAGCTCAGAACTGGAAGCAATGCTTGAACACAAGACATCATTTTGAATGGTCAGTCCAAATACGAAGTGAGAGCTTTGAAACAGCAAAAGATCGGGGTCATATTTTGGCAGCAAAAAGGCACCGACACAATATAGAAGGGCTCTGTGATGGAAGAATGGCATCTGCCATGGATGCCAAAGGGCTGCTTAGGAGGCTAGGTCCAGATGGCCTCTCAGAACAATACAACCAGATGCTGGTCGAGAACAACAGATAAAGAGGCTGAGCTTCCCCTGAGGATACAGCCAACCTTAGCAACCAGTTAATGGATGTGTTTCAGCCAAATCAAATGGGACAAAGAGAATCAGGCCAGGTGAAAGAATGGGTGTCCTGAGACCCCACAGCCATGGAAATCTCTAGCACAGTGCCTGGAGTATGGCATTTGTTGACTGGCTGCTGATCACAGTTGGGCCAAAAGGGTCCCTGGCGAGTAACTGCCAGATGGTCTGGTATCTAACAGAGGAGTCTTTGGGGTTCAGGCAGGGGACCAGGGCTTTAGCTCTGGCCAGGAACCAAGGAGCGGGTTGGGGAAGCTCTAGGCCAAGGCCTCACACTTGGAACTAATAATTAGAGAAGCACCTTAGAGCAATATAGAACTTTGACATTTACAGAGTTCTTTCATAGGCATTGTTTTATTTATCCTCATGATAACTCAGTGAAGTAAGCAGGAACCACAGAAAGATGAAATGTTTGTCCGGACTGTCTGCTCACAGGTGGAGTCTGCTACATGAATAGCAATGCCACCCTAACCCTACCTCATGTTAAAGTTTGAGTCATGGGTCTAGGAGAGGATTAAATAGCACTGAAATCAGGAAAATAATTGGGCCCGGGTCTATTCCACAGGAAGAGGATTAAGGGCTTTGGTTATTTTGAAAACCAGCCAGCTTTTAGGTGAGTTAGGACAGGAAATGCACCATTTCCTAACTCAACCTTCTCCCGCTGGACTTCAGCTGATTCTTTGCCCTTTCGTTCCTCCACTCAGAGGGGCTGTTCTTTACCCATTTCCAATTTCCTCAGATGAGAAATTCCTATTTCCAAACTTCCTGAGAAGTGTGCTACCCATACTAAAGGTAAATTCCATAGAGAGTGCGAATGTCCTTGGAAGGGCTAGGCGTAGTGAAAGTGACAGTGGCCATTTCAGGTCAGAATCCCAGGAAAATACATGGAGCTGGGGCAAATAGAAGGGTAGTCAGTAAGGACAAGGTCTGGGAATAATGATGCCAGGGAAACTGTGCTTTCCCCCATCCATGTTTTCTTGAAATCACAGAGTGCTAAACCGAGATAAAGCTGTAGTGATCCTCATGCTCATCTCTTTCACTTAGCATATAAAAAAGTCAAGCTCAGTGGGTAAAGTAACTTTCTTAATATAATACAGCTGGTAAGTGATGGAGTGCAGACTAGAAACCACTTCCTGGGAATCCTGAGTTACTACAGTTACCACTACTGTTTGCAGTCTGGCTACGTTACACTGGTCTAGCCCAGGGGTTGGTAAACTTTCCGTCTGCCACCTGCACACTTTTGTAAATAAAGTTTTATGGGAACAGAGCCCAGCTCATTTGTTTACATATTGTCTATGACTTCGTCCCTACAACAACAGCAGAATTAAGTAGTTGACACAGAGACTGTATAGTTCTCAAAGCCTAAAATATTCATTACTGGGCCCTCTGTAAAGAGTCTTCCAATCCCTGGCCTCATCTCGGCAGTCCTTGTTTCATTTCTTCCTGTTTACTTAGCTGTGCATGTTGTTTCATGCACGGTCACCTTCACTCTCTTTTTCCTTGGTCCTCATCGCATACCTCATCCTTCTTCATCCCCAAGCCCATGACATACATAAAACTTCAATGCGTTGAGCGGTGGATCTGTCAGCTCCCTTTAGAGATTCATGGTTCACAGAGCACACGATGTTCGCCCCATCATCCTCCCGGGTAACCTGAAATGTCACCGAGCTGCTCACGGTGAAGGTTTTACCATTGGGATCTTCCTGGATGCGAGTTGGTTCCCCTAGAGTGCAGAAACAGTGGCACACACACAAACACACGGAGAGAGACACAGAGTAAACCTAACATACAGATATCATGTGGGCCTTATTGTAGATGCACAGATGTTGAGTCTCAACCTAGATAAACTTAGAAGGTTGTGGCATGGATATGTACTCACAGGGAGAATGTAGGCCCCAACACACACATAGGCACATAAGTGCACACAAAATATCTGTCATTCCTGTCATTCCCCTTTTCTTCTTCCATACCATGCCTCCTGTGTACATTCATAGACAGGCCCTCCTCTCTCTCTTTCCGGCTCCACTTTCTCCTGTAACCCAAGGCAGGAGGTACTCACCGTGGAGTTCTTGGTCACCCTTTCTCCAGGTGAGCCGGGCTGCAGGTTTGCTCCCAGAAGACTGACAGTTTAGGGTGGCTGTATCCTTTTCCCGTAATGAAGATTTATAACCGGTGATGATGGGCTTCTGTGGAATTCCTGCCATGGATAGGGGATGGCCAGGATAGGAGGGAGAGGCATCATAGGGTCACACGTCTGCTCTCCCTGTGGAGATGGCTTCTCTGCGTACCTAGGTTCTACTATAATTTCTCGTGGGTTAGAAGACTAGAGAAACCATCCTTCTCTTTGTTCTCCTCTCTGAGGACCAGAGGGAAGACCTTGGGGAAGCAGCATGGTAGTGAGGACATATGCCACAGCACAGACATGACACACGACCCACCACTTACACCAAAACTGGTGGCCGCAGAGATAGTGTGAGTCTCAGCGAGACAAAGAAGAAAGGTGAAATACAGAATCAAATATACGATGAAGATGAGAGCATGTAAGCAACTGGGGTACTTATTTTGGAAATTATAACACGTGCACGTCTTGTTTTCCTCACACCATCTTGGGAGGTAGGTAGAAGGGGTATGATCATCTCTCTGTTATACGAGGAAATTCAGGCTCAAAGAGAGTAAGAAGTTTGTCCTAGATCAAACAGTAAGTAGAGCACAAAGGATTAAACCCTGTTTCTTTTTACATTTTATCCCATTGCCAGGGGAACACAGGCTGAACTTTCCTAAAGTCCTTGGAGACTTGCCTGGCTCCAGGCTGCTTCAGGGACCCACGTAAGGAGGTGTGTTTGCAAGGAAGCATGCTGTAGAGACGCTGGGGTTTGGGAGTCTCACCTAGGACTGTGACGAGGGACTTGGCAGTTCGCACAGGCATCGTGAAGATCGAGCAGGTGTACTCGCCTTCATCTGCCAGGGCCACATTGCTGATGCTGATGCTGAGCTCGTGGGGAGTCGAGGTAACCAGCTGAATTCGATTATCTCGAAGGGCTGGGGAAATCAGAATGGAAAGCTAGGATTTTACTGGCATCTCTCGTGTTTATTTTCCAATCCCAGGCCAGTTTCTTTGAGGAAAGGGGTCTAGTATGGTGGGTGGGGAAAAAAAAAATAACTGCTCCTGAGCTTAAGAAGTCTTTAAGTCATTCAGTCACTTTTCTGGGTCATTGGACATGGCAGCCTAAGAGATAATCAGTAGTTTGGCTCTTGTAAGCTTCCATGTAAGATAACCTGGGGCAACATTGACTTCTGCTTTCTGTCAGAGTTCCTGTGGGGTGAAGTCACTCCAGAACCCTAGAAGACTATGCATGCTGTAAACCGGAGCTGTAATACTGGACCCAGTTGGGGAACCGATGGCTTGTTATATCCTGAACAGCATACTGCCACATCTCTCAGCCTCTGGACTACAGGAACAGTTCCCCTTGGTGGCTGCAGTCCCCTTCTCTAGCCCATGGTTTTCACAGAGAAATAACTCGTGAGATACTACCTCTCTTCTCCCCAAAGTAGAGAGTCTGCTGAGCAGGGTTAGACCATTGCAGGGATGAGTCCTCGTGATCTTTCACTTGGCACTTCAGCACCACGGTGCCACCAGCCACCACTGTTTCATCAGATGTCCAGGGCTGGCTGTCTGCAGGAGTAGAAGAGGGTTAGTTTCTTGAGGATCCCTAGCCCCTCCTCCCATTTCTGAGCCAAAGTGCACCTCGTCTAACTCAGACCTTCCAAGGCCCTGGTGTAAACAAGGTCTCAGTGTACCCTTAAGGTTTCATGGGGGAAGGGAAAGAGGTGGTGGTGGCGGTGGGGGGAAAGACAGACCTCAGCTTTTCTTACTTTGAATACACAGAAAAGCAAATAGTCACGTTAAATGTTTCCTGAATGAAACTGACAGGGCCACGAGCATTTAGAGGCGTAAAGGCACCCCAAATCTACACATACCACTCCACATATGTCTTTTCGCTGTGGTTCTACCATTCACCTTTGAAAACACACATACATATCTGTCGTTCTACGTTTTGCCTTCCTGCCACCACCTACATATAAGAACAAGAACAGGAGAAGCAGCTGTGACTAATAATCCTAAAACTAAAATGGAGAAAAGGCTAAACCAGCTCTTGGCTTGCACATTCCTTTACACAAGACGTGGCTGGTAGAACACTGCAAAACAAACAAACAAAATATTTTTAAAGCGCAACATTTTTACACGCTTTTCAATTCTTCTGCCAATAACTTCCCTTCAATCAAGGCCCTTAGCATATTCCCCATTGTATTAGTGTAACCCGCCTTGCAACACGCAGCCCAAATCACCGTCCTGATGTCATTTTAAAGAGGGAAGGATTAAGGCTTTCTCTTCAGTGTGATGAAAACATGCTTTCTAATCCTTCTCTCCTTAGTGAAGTTAAATAAAACAATACAGAAAGGACTAGGAAGGTATCTTACGGATGAGCCCTTTGAATCTCCACTGTGCCTTCTGGCCAGGCCTGCCTGGGAGCCCTTCTGGCAGCAGAACACTTGCTTCCTGTGGTTCCGTGTTCCCCACAGCATGGATTCTGACTTCCAGTACTGATTCCCTCATCTGCAGAACTGATTTTCTGTGACTCAGTAGCACTGACCTCTACAGAACAAATCTAAAACAGACAACACCTTCCAGCTCTGATTCTAAAACATCCACCAAAAAATCTGTTCCTTGATACTAAATTGTTTCACCAACATTGCTTATGTCTGAACAGGAAACCGAGAAACTTACTTCCTATATTCCTCTATAGAGAATTTTAAAACAATTCCATGCTCCCTTTGGCACCCACCTTACCCCTGACTGCTTGTTCTTTTCTTGGTTTCTGGAATTCCATTTCCAGGAAATACTCAATGGGTGCTCCCAGCAGAGCAGAAGCCCCGAGAATGAAGATGTTTGTGCTGGAGTTGATGCCATGGACTGATAGCATCGACTGTTCAGGGTGACTGTTCCCAAATTGGAGCTCAAGCCTGGTGGTTAGTATCAGCATTAAGAATTGTAAAAATTCATAGAACCGAGTGAGATCTTTGGGATCGTGGAATCCCTCATTTTGCAAATGTAGGCAATGAGGCAATGGAGATGCAATGATTGCCTAAGCTCATTGTACTAATTTGAGTTAGAACTAGAACTCTGTTCCTGTGTCTCTCAATGCGGTGCCATTTTCATTGAAACGTTTCTCAAGTCATCATCTAAACTGAGCATTAAAATATGATTCTGAGATTAGCGTACAAGGGACTGAGCTGGCTGGGGTAAAGTTGAAAGTGATACATTCCTAAAGCCTCTCAGCAAATGGTTTGAGAAACCCTTCATTTACCATAGCCGTGTGCCAATTTTTGACCAGTCATCCCTTTGTCCCTGGTTCCCTTTGAAGAATTCCGCCTTGATTGTGTCTTTCCAGGACCTCTTTATTCTGAGTAACATATTCCCCTGGAATCATTTTATTTTGGGAAAGAAGTGTAGGGTGTACAGAGGTCTCTGTACTGGAGTAAGGGAAGAAGGAGTAGGTGCAACAGAATTTGGTGGTGCAGACTAAGAACTAAAATGTCAGATGGAAGGGAGACAGTGCTGTGTGGTGATGAGAGGAGTGAGAACATGTGGTGGAGGCAACATGAGTGGGAGAGGATGTGAGGATGAGTGAGGGAACTGAGGGACATTGAGATGAGGGGGCCTGGATTCTCACCTTGACTGGCCAGCATGTCAGGGCTGCTCCAGACTGTGGAGCTGATGGCCTCGTCGAGTGGAGCCAGAGTTCCCAGCTCCAAATCCTGCTCCTGCCAGTAGCCTGGGGAGAGAACCTCCATCAAGCATGAGCCCTACATGTATCCTGCTCCGGTGTGGGGCTCGACGTTCACTGCTGGGCATGTGGGAAAGGCTAGGTCCCTAGAAAAGCAGGTTCATCAGGATACCTAAGAGAAGGTAGGCTTCTCACCAAGGGCAGACATTAACTAGCGTCCTGAGAAAGGAAGTGCCTTTTTCTCTGAAGCGGTGAATTAAAGGAGGATGCTAACTTTGTATCAGTCAGTCATAGAATGTTAGAGCCAAAGGAATCTTAGAAGAGTTCATCCAGTGCAGTTCTCCCACTTCGCAGATGAGGCCAATGAAACCCTTAAATGTTGAAAGTGACTTGGTGAAGGTCACCACTGAAAAGTGAAAGACCACCTAAGATTTCTCATTCCTTATCCAGAATTGTTTCTGCTCCACCGTATGATTCACTAAAACCACTACACGTTTGATAATTAGAAAACTTTCACAAGTCATCCTCTTAAACCTGTAAAACAAGTACAAGGACATTGTCGTTCCTATTTTGCAGATTGGAAACAGAATGAAATGACTCGCCCAAGGTCACACGAATAGGAGACGAAGACCAGAAATTAAATGCCTGATTTTAAACGCAAAGCTCTGTTTGTTTCAATGTGAGGCTCCCACCCGTGAAGAAACACGTAGTAGGTTAGGCCTTAAACTAGTACCACATGTTGCAGATTGCTACCTTCTACGGGATACTCAAATTATCTTTTAACTTAATGACGGAGCCTGCTCCTTCCTCTGGAACCACAAACCCCCTCCTTCCAGCGCCTGAGTCACCGCCTCGCCTCTCTTCCTGCAGGGTAACTCCAGTGCCACGGGCCTTGCCCCCAACCCAACCTGAAGAGGCGGAGGGACAAAGAAACCGGCCTGGTGAGTCAGCTCGGGGTCTCCCGCCGCAGCGCCCCGGTGTAGCCAATCAAGCGCGCAAAACTCAGTGAGCTCATCCGCTGCGGAGCAGAGCCCGGGGCTGCCGGGCGTCCCGGCCCCGGAGTCGCGGGAGAACTTCGCCGGCCGTCCCAGCGCGCTGCGGAGAGAGGCTGGTGAAAGAGGAGAGGGGAGAAGGGGGCGCCAGGACCAAGAGAGGGCGCGCGGGGGCCGGGAGGTCCAGATGAAAAAGCAAAGAGGTGGGACGCGGGCTTGGGGGTCCCTGAGGAAGAAAAGGACAGGACTAGGGAGAGAATCGCCTAATTGGAAGCCAAAGGAAGGGGGCGAGGGGCGAGAGGAGAGGGAAGGGAGAAGTCGAGGGGTACAGGAGAAAGAGGGGTGGAGAGGGAAGGGGGAGAGGGGGAGGCCGGCGTGGGAAGGGAGTCCGGCAGGAAGCGGGCAGCCTTGGAGAGTCCTAGCGCAGGGGTTCCCTGGCCTCCCTGCAGGCACCTCCCCTCTTCACTGCGCCTCTCGGGCAGCTTCCAGATTTCAGTAATTACCCTGTTCTTAAATGGGAGAAGCGCTAATCCCCCAATGCGGAGAGGGAGTAAAGCCGAGAAAACAGAGAAAACCAGTAACCGGTGGAGAGAAGTAGGCAAGAAAGGCGGGAAAGGGAAGTGTTGATAAAAGCGAGGCAAGCAGGATAAGGAGGAGAGAAGGAGAGGGGCCGGTGCCGTCACATCCAGCGGGGGCTCTCCCTGAGTGCCCCCCACACTCACCCGCACGTGGAGGATGGAGGCAACCTGAAGGTGGTGAGTGCTCAGATTGTGTTTCCCGCTGTGTGTTCTTGGGTGCACTGTGTCCACGTCAACCCACAGTAGGGAACCAAATTGGTTGTGCCCAGGTGTGGGACGGGAGAGGGAGAAGGCAGAGAGGAGTCGCCATTCAGCCCCTCTGTGTTGGTATCCAGTGCACCGTGAGTGTGAAATAGGCCTTTGCTCAAATGAACGGAGAAAATAGCCGTCTCATACCATGGTATAGGACTTTCCGTTTCCAGAGTGGATTTTCAACCACGAATTCATTTAATCTCAAAACAAACTCAAGAGACAGGCAGCCAGATAGAATTGCTTTTTACAACGAGGTTCAATTATTTACCTAAAGGCACACACACAGTATACCTCTCAAGAATCCTTTCTGTCTCTGATGGTGCTTTGGGGGCTTTTTCAACATTTCATATTTCTTATGGCATTCCAGTGCGATTTACTTGTTTAGTTATCAGTCTCCTCATCTAAACTTTGAGCTGGTTAAGAGCAGGAGCCTTAAGTTATTCATCGTTGTATCTTTAGCACTTATCCCATAGTGGGCTCTCAGTACATTTAATTGGCTCCGGTAATTCATTCAGCCACACTTGGCACTGTGCTATGTATATTGTTAATCAGGCAGAGCATGTATTCTGTCCAACAGCATGGGTTTAGTCTTCACTCTCCTGCTTCTTCTTTCATCTGTGCTTTTTTCTGCATCCTCCTTAGTTGCTTTTCTCTTTGCTCATATTTCTTTCATCCCTCCCCTCCTCCTGCGTTTCACAGGCATCTTCCTTCTGCATAGGATGAATAAGTGATGTCGATCATTCAAACCAAACTGGATTGTTCAGATGAGAGGACTGATAACCAAATAATCTCCAATAAATGGCCTATTGGGGATATGCATGATATATTGCCTCTATAGGTTTACAGAGAACTCACTCTCATTTGTGGTGTCTTAAACTGTGCAAGAACTGGCTGTTTTGTTTTTCTTCCCCTACGGGTGACATTTTTCCCTCTAATTTTGAAATGCACTTATAATCTCATGTCTTCTCTTGAGAACTGTCTCTTAATATGCTTGAAAGTTATCTCGTCATTTTTATAAAATTGCAAGCCTGTATGATAAATTCCGAATGGCCACTCCCCAGAGAGTGAATGATTGTTTATAATGCTATCAACAGAAACATGGCTATGTAGCAGAAATTATAACCTGGGTTGTGAAAGACTTGTACCTTCTTTGGATTCAGATTGTGTCAGTCATTTATGACATCAGCATGAATTCCCTCAATGAATTCAGACTGAAAAGGAAAACTCAGGAGTACTCTGAATGGGTGGTATGGAATTTGAAGTGGAAACAGGAGCTTGGAAGGCGCTTCTGTCATTGAGACCATACAGCCTTTAGTGAGAGAAGGCCCAGGCTGCTCAGGTAGAAGAACAAACGAAGAGAGCTTCGGTCGTATTGGTCAGATTGTTTCCCTGCTTAGAAACCATCACTGACTCTCCACTGTCTGCAGATACTACCCAGAGTTGTCAGCCTGGCTTTCAAGGTCCTATATAGTCTGATGCCAAGCTTCCTTTCAGTTTTGTCTTTTTGCTACTTCACTCACCCTGCATTCCAGGCAAGCAAAGCCATTTGGAATTCTATGAATGCTTTGTTTTCCTGCGTCCATTCCTTTTCCTACAGTAACTTTGCTGATAATGCCCTTCGCCCATCTTCACATGTCTAAACCTTATCTATGCATAAAGTATTTACATTTTGCGGCATTTTCTTGATCAGAAGTCTTCCCTGTTTGTCCCAGATGGAAATAATTCCCCATTTCTCTGAGTTACACACTTTATCTGCTTTTTCTTAAATTATGCATTTCTTTCCACTTTGTACTGCAAGTTTGACTTTCCTCCCAAATTATAAAGATTCCATAGGTAGGGCCTGATGAATTTTGTACCCAGTATTGGCCCTAATGTAGCATATTGCATATAGGAGGTGCTTTAATAAAAATTTCTTTATTAAGTGAATCAGATACTGAGCATCTTCTATTGTGAGAGTTAAGTTCAAAATCTGTCAGTAGAGAGGAAATAGCAAACCAAACAGGATAGAAAGAAACAGGCCAAGGGAGATGGTAGGCTAATAGGAAAACTATAAGACAGAAGAAATTGGTATTTATCAACAGTTTCTATATATCAGGATCCAAATTAGGTGTTATATATTCATTATTCCATAACAACAACCTTTTAATATATAGGTATTATGACACACATGTTAAAACCAAGTTAAGAAACTTATTCATATGATGTATCTAATAAGTACTGGGATAGGATGGACTTTAAACTTAGACCTCTCAGACCACAAAGCCCAGGCCTTCTGCACATATTTACTACACTGCTCCACTCTGTAGAAGCATGTTATTTTGTGTTTGTGGTGGTGGCGGCGGCGTAGAGTGTAAAGTGGGAGAGATTCCTTGTTGCATTGCTGGCCAGGGGTGGCTCACCTAAAGAATATTGACAAAATTCACCTGCAGTATGATGAAAATGACAGTATAGCAAATTGGAAATGGGCGCTTGTGATGTTGGTGGTCCTGTGGTCCATACCCATTGAATTACATTTTTACTTGGATGCCTTAATGTGCCTGCACCTATACCTTTGGGACTATGTCATGCACTCTTAAGTGACTCACCATGTGGGACTCTTCAGAGAACCAAGCAGATAGCATATCTAGTTAAAAAAAAAAAATCTCCCTGTGTATTCATAACACTCTTGCACCTAGGCTAAAAACTAAAAAATTATCTTATTTGTTCTGAATTGCTTTGGAGGTTACTTAATTCTTGGTTTATTGGCTCCTAGGTTCTAGTATCTTTAGGATTTCCAGCATTTCAAAGGACAAAGTAGCCCTTTCACCCACTAATTTTCTTCTGATTGTTCATTTTAAGAGTGGCAGAGGTGGGAACTGGAGAATTACTAATGTGCTGCTTTAAAGCAGCATCGGCACCTGTTACGGAGTTTTTCACTCATAGCACAGGATCTCACACATAGTAAGTGCTCAATAAATATTTATTGAATAAATAAATGAGTGACTCAAATAAATAACTATGTATTGTCTTGAATTTAAGTAACTTTAGAAGTCTATGAAAGTCTTCCGGTATAACCCCTGATTGCTTGGTTTATATATGATCCCTGCCATGTCTGTTTTGGGGACCTACAACATACTGTAGGCCTTTCAGCCATAAACAGGGTCACAGGTGCACATGTCAGATGTGGAACAAGAGGACAGAGCTCTCCTGCATAACTGCTGATGGCCTTGCCAGTGCCTGGGTCCAG